TGCACCGTGCTGGATTTGTGCATGGGGATTTGCGAAAGCCCAATATTCTCTATCAAGAAACAGATGAATCTATAAATGTAGTGCTAATCGACTTTGATTGGGCGGGTGAGGCTGGCAAAGTCTCTTATCCTTCCTTCTTGAACATTCGAAGTGTCAAAAGACATTCTGATGCAAGATCTGATAAGGTTATTACTCCAGAGCATGATATCTTTAGTTTAAGTACATCGATGTAATGTTAGTATGGATTTGTAAATATCTGAACGCGGTTTAACTATCAAGAGAAATTCAATAAATAAATAGTTCAGTTATCAAAACTAATGCGCTGCTATTAACTTTATCATTTTTGTGAAGTGATAAAATTATATATAGGATTACCCGTATATGAAATATTATAGTTATAACGGTTCAAGTGAATACAAAAAAGCAATGCGTTTCTTGGAGATAGGTTGCAATTGTGGTTGTTCGAAAATGATTCCAAGAGAAAAATTTGCCGAATTACGTGAAGCGTTTCAAGCTCTGTATAGATCCGAGCAAGATCTATTTTTAATGGCTCAACTTCAAGCAATGAATGGCGGCGAAATAACCACCAGTCGACGCCTTAAAAAGAAAACGCGTACTAATAAAAAAACTTTTTACTATTGAGATCGCTCTGTCAGGAAACGTATCTTAATATGTTAGGAATTGGTCGCACTTCGAAAACGTCAGAAACCATCTCGCGACCAATGGCATAATACCGCGTGTTCATGATAATGTAAAAAAAGTGCCGCGATGGAAAACCAAAATAACCATTGATATAACCGTGAAGAATTTTCTCGAAAACTATGCTGAAATTCAAGTCCTGGTAGAAATGTCAATCGCATTACTCAATCGCTTACACTTTTGCCAGCTGAAACAAGTTACAAGTCAGTCTATCGTGATTTTATTGCAGGTCTTGAAAACGATAGCACATTGAAATTGTTAAAATACGGCGCGTTTCGCAAGTTATGGCACCAATTAACGCTTTATATTCAAATTATGAGTCCAAGAACGGATTTATGCGACACGTGCCAACATTTCCGGAATGGCTTACAGTATAATGCCCGTAAGGAAGAAGAAGCAAAAGAGTTATTGAAAAAATACAAAGAACATTTAGTTAAGGCCAAGTTAGAGAGAAACTATTGCAACAAAAACGAAATTAGCAGAACAACAGAGAAAATTGGTAAATGAGCATTTTATGACACGAGGTAAAGCTGATTATTGTAGCGTTGATGCTACTGCTCATTACAGTTACGATTGAGCGCAAAATGTTCACGTACCCCATTCCGATCAACAAGCAAGTAAAATTTATTATCTCAGTCCACGTAAAGTGCATTTATTTGGTGTTCAAGATGAAGCAGCACGCGAACAAATTAATTACAACGAAATAATAGGCAAGGCCCTAATGGCACGCTAAGCGTGGTATTTGATGGAATAAAGAAATTGAATAAAGGCGAAAAACATTTAAAGATTACTTGTGATAACATAACGCGGGCGGACAGAATAAAAATAATGCCACCATTTGATTTTACTTCTATTTAGTAATTTGCAGTTATTATGAAAGTATCGAATTAAATTTCATGATACCTGGACATACTAAATTCAAGTGTGATGGTAGTTTCGGACTGATTAAAAAGCTTTATCGAAAAACGATCGTAGATTGTGTGGATCATATTGTTGAGGTTGTGAAAAGATCGAGACTAGCAGGATTAAACAAAGCTCAGTGCTATGAAAATGGAAAAGGTTTGATATAAATAATCTGATAATATATTTAAATTCATATATATCTAATTACTAAAAAATTAATATAATATCATATTATAATAAGTAGAATCTGTTTATTAATTATTAATAAAACTTTAGTTTTTATATCAATTATTTATCTATATCTAACTTATATACTTTTCTATTGATGATTTATTACTTTTTATAAAGATCAATTTCATTCTGAATACATACTATATATTTAATACATTAGATTTAATATATTATCATGCAGATAATCATTATAT